CTTAACTTGTCAAGCAGAAAGAAGTTTTCATCTTGAAGATGTAAAGATTTCAACAGAGTACAAAAGGAAATCACTCTTTTTTCGTAAGCACCCATGGAGATTGCCACAGGTCCATGCTGAGATCTTATAAGTTCAAATCTACAGCTCGAATTCCAAATAATGCAATAGTTCACGAATTATGCCCTTGCGATGGTTTGCCACAGATTTATTTGCCGTAATTTTCAGGAATTATGCATGAGCAGAGTATGAAAAATCATCTTTATCTCATTTAATTGTTGAAAACTTAGGATTCAGGATACAGTTTCAGATTCATGTGTTGAGCAGAACATAAATTATGACCTTGCGACGGTTCGCGACAAATAAATCGGTCGCGACGGATTAATTCGTCGCATACAGTTTTTTCCCAAAGGTTGGGGCGCTGTTGTGGCGCCTTGCTTTGCCTATCTCCTTTAAAAAGAAAAAGGAGGTCAACATAAGATTAAGAAGAATGGCGAGATGTTGTATATAAATTAGAATGCCTCAATATTGAATGAAAGATAAAAATTGAAGTTTCCGAGGAGAGCTGGTGCGAGAAGATTAAAAAAACTATTGGGTATGCCCTTTTATTTGATCGGCCAAATTTCACAGAAACAAGATCTTTTTCGAAAAGGAATGATTACTGCAGCCATGTGTATCCAACCACTTGCACATGACGACGCTATTAACCCTTCATTCTTTTATATTTTTAATAGAATTTCACATTTTGTCATCTTCTCTTCCTCGGATGCTTGAAATCTAATCGAGTGTTGAACCTATAGCAACTTGAACCTTGAACATATATATGTAGCGTAAGTAGTTTCGACCTGTTTTTGACAAGCTCATTCTAATGGTTGCAAAACGACTGTAAAAAGAGACAATAGCTTCAGCTGTGGCAAACGTTTAAATTTGAACATGCTGCAAAAGTGCCATAGGCCTTGTTAGGCATACCGCACAGTTTTTGAAAAGAATCTCACAGCAATTTAAGAGTTTTTCTTCAAACGTCTAATTTCAATCGAATGATACAGAAAAATTGGAATTTGTTCATAAATACAATCCAAATCCCAAAAGCTAATCTGGTTATGGTTATGGAATACGGAGATTATTAAAAAGAGATTTTTTCCCTTTAAAGAGATTAAAGAAAGGATGAAGAACCAAAGGGAGATGGCATGGAGATGTATTGTAATGAAAATCATGAAAATATATGTAGGTGACAGTAGAACTTGCTCCTATGTAGAATTTTTCATTCCACGAGTTAATGCTTAAGTAAATGCTTATGTTCACGGGTGATAGAATCGGACAGAAAATGACACCTGGAAAATTGTGATGCAGAGTGCTCTGAAGCAGTAAGACAAAGCAGCACAGAAAAAGACTCGTCGCGACACAATCCATCTGAAAAAATAAAGCTTGATATATTTGCTCGCATTTATGGCAAAATGACTACAGATAAAGTCATGCAAGGTATGCCCCAAATTGTAAGAAGAATTTATATTGGGTGACAAAAATTATTATGGAGTACCTGTGCTGATGAGTCACCATAACCACAATAGCATTTACGACAAGAATCAGCATGATGTATTCAGTAATCCGAATAGCTCCTCGCACCTATAACAAAAACTATGAATGATTAGTTTTACCTCCTTTAAAAGAGGTTTCATTGTAAGTCAGCTTTAGAGACGTCTTACACTATATGACCGACTCATGTAGGTAGTAGGAAATGTGGGCAACATGATTCGAACAAAAAGAAGCTGAAGGTACATACTCTGGTGCGACTAAACGGATCTATGATTATTTTTCGCTCGAATTTAGCCATATGCTAGGCGAAAAATAATGAAATGTGGTTGTTGTTGATGAATTTAGCGAAATCACTTTCATATGATAATGATACCATTATCAATTGATATTAATAATCCTGCTCATGAATGCATCACCTGCCACAAAATCTACTGGGAAAGAAAACAGACAGAATGAGATCATGCTCTTAGAAATTTATGTATCAAGAGCGTAAAGCAGAAAATTTCATGCCTGTAGAGAAATCCATTGAAGTCGGATCAAACTTTCAACATAAAAGTGTAGCCTGACCTATGAAGTGAACTATCGGAGAGCAATCGTGATACTTTTAAGCCCCATGATTAAAAACTCTGTAATCTTCTCGCATTTATATCTAAATAACCTAACGTTTGTTTCATGAATCACGCACGTTAGGGCAGCAGTGAAATACAAAGTTGTCATTATTCATATTGTGCTTCTGCTCGAAAGTCCATTTCTTGGTTTCATTGCTATTTCCGCGTATTATGAAGCAATTGTGAACCTCTTAATTCTCTATTACAATACTTCTTCTTGAGCTTCATAGAATGCTCAAATTTTGCGGGATCCGGCACGTCTTGCAGTAACAACTTCCTGATAGAAGCTCCGTACGAATAGATAAGAGAAGAATGAATCATAGAATTAATCAGTCACTCTTTGTGCGTTATCATGCTTAGTATAGACGCTGACAGCAAAATATATTTACACATCAATCACCTCGAGTTATCTGCTTATTTGCATAACTGAATAATATAATTTTGTTTTACAACTAATACCTCTTGGAACACATAGTTCATTACCATAGTCCTTTGCTTATATATTAGAAGATCTTTGATTGAAACAGTTTACTTCTATTATTATAGAAGTAATTAGAACCGCAGGCTGAATAAATAACTGCAGAAGTGCAGTAAACAGATAACCAGAGAAAAATGAACAGCGCTATAATTCTAGAAAAGTATCCCATGTTGAAATATACTCGTCTTTTCCAACATTTTCTCACAAATAAAGATGTCTTCCATTTCATAACAGTAATTATATGTTCTGTTAAAAATAGATATTGAATATCAATGAGTTTCCGTGATTACCCATCTCCTCATTAGAAATACCTTGACTAAAATTTAAATTATTAAGCAATTTTTTAGAAAGCTCTTCAATAGTTGTTTTATAGGCGCGAAGAGTTAATAACATTGGAGATGTTTGGAAAAGTTCTCCTCTGCAGAATACAGAATTATTAATGGAAATGTAAAAGAAAAATATATGCGAGCCTGATAATATAAACACCTTTCTCCAGTTACTAGCTTGCATTTCCTGCAAAGCCTTGCTTTTGTTAAACCACAATTTTGAGTACTTCTGCTATTGCAATATAGAATAAGTAATAAGTATAATTAACTACCTAAGAATTCTTTTTAAAATGTGCAAAAAGCGGGTTTAAAACTTGTTTGCTAGTCCGACAAACTCAATATTAAAAAAACACTTGCAAAGATTAATTTAGAATGTGAAAGATGGCCTCCATGATTTTGTTTTAATGAACTTCCTCTCACCTCTGGGAACCATGAAAACCACAAATCCGGCAGTGGTGGTGTGTCTCGGGGTACCCGTTCGTGGATCCATGCCAAAGCCACCTCATTCAATGCCCAGCCAAATCCCTAAAATTCCGCAAAATGAAATGGTAGAACATACTTCGCAAACTGGTAAGCACAGCAGTTTATGTACCACAAATGCAAGCGAAATTAGAGTGGGTAGCCGTCGCACCACGTAAGATTTCGTTACCGAAGTAGGAAGAATCTCGCGTTTCTCCTTGTCGATCATCCTGAAAATGTTGATATGAAATACAAAAAAAGGTAGGATCAAAATTTGACTTCACATGTAAGAATAACGACCGTGAAGCTGGACTTAACTGAATAGTGCATTTTGTGTACAAAAGAGAAATGAAGATGATGAAGAGAACTAGAGGTTTCACATAACAACCTTCGAAAGCATAAGCTTAGTAGGCGATTTAGCACTTTATGGATGGACAGAACTGAAAGCCAGCAAGCAATTAGTTATATATATATATATATA